TATTTCTATTTTCATCTGTAGATGGTTCATTAAAAAAAATAAAATAAAAAAAATAATAAAATTAAGAATTTAAAGAAACTTGAATGTTGCTTTCCTGCAATGTTGGAAACTGGAGGCATTCTTTACAATGTTGGAGAATGGAATGCTTTTAGAAATCTAATTTCCTGCTATTCTCATCTCAGTGATCTTTCCAGAAGTGTGCACTTCTGTCCATGTATCTCCTTCAACAGAAGTTTCATATTTTATAAGACACTCTCTGATGTTCTTCCACATCTAAAAGGGATGCAGATGCTGCAGCTTTTCTCACTACTAAGACTGTACCAGGTAGGTATAATACATGGCCGACCATCCCATTTAAAAATGTGTTTACAAAAAAATTATGAAACAAACAGCAATTTATTCCGAATAAATGAAGGTATGAATCTGGAAAAAGCTATGTATGTTGGTTTACTCCTTTAAGGGAAAACTATAGGGGCCTATTTACAAACACTGGAGAAAAGCACTCATCAAAAAGATTGTTGTACATAGTGATCAATCAGATTGTATATTTTATTCTCTGTGAAAATGAAATAAAATTATCTTTTTGGTCATTATGGGCCATCTCTAAACTGTATTTTCTCCAGTTTTGTAAAAATGTCTCCTAATCTTTAAAAAAAAAAAATCTTATCAAGGTAATATTTAAAAGACCATACCTCTCTATTACCTCTCTGTAATATGTGTTTATTGGTGCAGCCATATTTATTTATTAGATATACTGGTGTTGATCTACTAAAGGTAAAAAGGCTGTTCATTTTGCTTAGAAATGTTCCCTTAGCTTAGTAAATGTGATGAAAATTCACTTTGCAAGGAATAACCAATCACGAGCAAGGAAAATTAAAAAAGAAATATTATTTTTTCCTTGCACATGATTGGATGATGGAAATCAACAGAGCTTAATTTCATTCACTAAGCTAAGAGAACATTCCCTTGCAAAGTGATCAGTCTATTTGCCTTTAGCAAACCAAGCCCACAGGGTCTGCTTTCTGCCTAATAGTGTTGCAAACGGTTTTGCCCTGAGCTGACAGTAGATAGACAGTGTCTCCTCAACAGTTATAGGGTTGCAGACATCAGCCCCTCTTTAAAAGTGCTGAAACCCTCCATATATACTAAACAACTTATATGATTAGCAGAAGCAGCGCAAGTATAGTGAAGTGTTCTTTAACTCTTCTCAATTACTAAAATGCAAGATCAGCCCAATTGCACAGAGATTATACAAGTTAGAAAACCACTGTTTGCAATAATGAGTGCTTCTAATGGTTGAAAATGCTCATTATTAACCCCTAGGATAACCCCTAATGGCCAAACTTCCATCAAACTGAGGATGAGCTCAGACCATTTATGATTACCTGTATTGTGCTTTCTCTCTCAGTCCTTAAGTCTACTGTTCAGGTTTTATGAACTGAAAACAACAGCTTCTCCAGGCAGATGAGAATAGATGCCAGCAGTTTTTAATCTTGAGGACTTAAGTGATTGTGTTGAAATACAGGTAGGCACTAGCAGCAGAATCTACATGTACAGTATTACATGTATTTTACAACAATGGAAATACAGTACATCAGGCATGGAAAACATAAACGTTACATAAAATGTATTTTAAGGTAACTATTACAACAACAACTCAAACTCACTATAATTTCCTTTTAAAGGATAAAAGACCTAGTCAGCAGCAATGTACCAAATGATTGTAACTGGGCCCATTTCTTTTGCAGTCATTTTATTACTGTCGCCATTTTTGCTGATGACACAAACTTATGTAGAATTATTAAACCTCAGCAGAACAGTGACATATTCCAGAAGGGTCTTGACAAAATACAAAATGGGTTGTTAAATGGGAGAAGAAGTTCAATGCTGATAAAACTAAGACTATGCAGGCAGTTCATTCTAATAGCACTACATTCTATATACATAATTTCTAAGGCAACATCTAAAATACGGGGTACCACTTTGAGCATATAACAAAGGACAGAGCAGATTTGGAAAATGTTCAAGCAGACAGCTAAATTATTGAAAGGGAAGAGAGTTCTCACATTCAATTAAAGGTTATACAAATTGACATAAAAGACACCTCAGAGGTGATCTAATTAATATGTATAAATACAACCAAGATCAATATCAATATTGGGCAAATTAACTTTATACTTTAAGGAATGTACAAAAGACAAGAGCATATCAATGGAGTAAGAGGACAGATTATTTTAACATCGGTGGTAGGAAGGGTTCTCTTCAGTAACAGAAGTTAGGCTGTGGAATACCTACCCTGGAGCATGCAGTGGTAATGGCATCCATTAACAAATAATAAAAAAAAGTTTGCATGCTTTTCTTAAAACTAGGGGTAACTATTATTACCCCTAGTTATAATTAAATAATTAAAGTAGGTGAAAGTTTTGATACACCTGATTTTACTGTGTTTCTGGGGTCCTAAAAGGAATTGTTTTCCTTTTTGAAGAAAACCTGGGTATCTATGCAACTGTTACAATGCTTAATTCAATTTGGTCTCAAATACTGCTTAAGAAAAAAATGATACATCTTATAATGTAGCTGAACATACTGCAATTAGCAGCCTTCACTCAACTTGAATTGATTAGTGCCAATTGATCAATAAAGCAATATTGTGTAAACAATTACAAGTAGTCATTGGGTTTATATAAACAGAGATGATAGAGAGATAGATAGATAGATAGATAGATAGATAGATAGATAGATAGATAGATAGAGAGAGAGAGAGAGAGAGAGAGAGAGATAGATAGATAGATAGATAGATAGATAGATAGATAGATAGATAGATAGATAGATAGATAGATATTGCATTCTAGTCAATACATAGAATATCAATACACCTAATACATTCAGTCTGTAGATATAATTAAATACATGGAAGATTGCTTGTTTTTGTTAATTGCCATTTATGTATGGTTTTACACTGTATTATCAGTATACCAGTATGAAAGTGTCCCGGTTATCTGTTGTCCAGGGGTCAAACTACTGTGCAGCTGAGGCAAACATAGCAATATGAAATGCAGTAAAACACAGTTGCGAAGGAGAACTGCTCCCAGAATGCAATCTGTACACATTTGCATTCCTTTCCCGTACTCTCCAATAAACACAGCTTGTGTGTATGTATACATAAGCACATCAAAAACTGGTATCCCTCATAATCGGTAGTCAGAAGATCAATCAGCTGTACACTGGAGGGAAAACAGCAATATCTCAGCATGTCCCTGCAATCTGCTTAAAATAGGTTAAAGAGTCATATAGCTTAGTTTATAAAAAAAGAATTCCACTATAAACTTGTAACATATACATAAAATAATAACAATCTGCAGATATACTATTAAATCAAGTCTACATCTGGGGCTTCAATATGCGTGAGACGTGAACCAATAGTGCCTAAGCTTGGTCCTATATTTTACACTAAGGGGTGCATCCTACACACTCTATTAACCAGAAAAGCATGCCAATATAATGTGCAGTCATCATATGTGAATCAACAATGTTTAAATTACCCCCCAGTAATCTGCAAACATACAGCATTGTTCACCATGAGACAGAAAACCTAAATTTTTTTAAGTCTCAACACATCAATAATTACAAGACTGATATATATATATGGGTAATATTTACTCATTTTTGAGCCTTGTTGTTGCTGTTAGTAGAGATAACAAACAGTTTAAAAGATATCATGTATCCTGGAATGTTGCACTGCTTCAAACTATATCCTGTACAAATGATTCCTTCTATGCACCAGACCAGGTCTAACCAGGTCTAATGCAGGTACAATTATATTAAAGTATTAACCTGGACAATGGTATGCAAATTAATAATGAGTTGAGCCCCTTTGGGTAATGTTACCCTTCTCTCTTCTACTATCTTACCCCCTCCCATAAACTAAAATGGATTTTTAATTACCCTCTATATTTCAGTGCCTGTAAATCTCTCTCTCTACTGCAAGAGAGAAGACTGATTTTAATCAAGACTTCTTGCTGCCAACCACAGACTGGAACAGTCTGCCCTAAAGATGTTAAATGGGTGCAATTCAGAGGAGCAGATGAAAATATTTAACGCACAGGAAAACATAGGAGGGGGTGGGGGATGTATAAGAGATAAGAGGGAGAGCTACACCGGGAGCTAGGGAGAGAGTAAAGGAAATGGGCACAGAGTGCATGGGATGACTATGATCCCTGAATGGCACAGAGGTATTAGGAATAAAAGGTAAAGAGACTGAGGAATAGATGAAGTAGAGCTAAAGATGGGTTTGCCTTTGTCAAGGGAGGAATGCTAGATAACTGAAAGCAGTTCAGGACTAAAATGCAAATAAGGAGGTGAGCACTGAAACAGGGGAATTAAAGTACCTAAGAGACTGCTATAGAAAGAAAATGAATTGGATTGCTTGCAAAAAAAAATGAGTGCAGGGGCACTCAAATGTAAATGGCCACATTAAGCCTAGACAGACAAAAGGAAGTAACAGGGGGTGAGATAGGGATAAAGGAACAGAAGGAGACAAATGACAGACAAGCCATAGGAACATCAATCGGCTAAATGATTGCCATACACTCCAAAAGACTACAGACACTTGCAGTGGAGGTATAAGAAGCTGTGATCCAGATTGAGCAACAAAACATTAGGCACATCTGCATTTTCACAGGCACAGGACAGGCTCACACAGCTATTGAGAATTGAACCTAATCTCTAAGCCGGGTTTACATTCCCTCTCACTTTCCATGTCCTCGCTCCTTCTTTTTGCTCAGTTTCCAGGTTGTAAAAGAGCCCCTGATAATGGAATATGAGCAGCAGGGTCTCTTCTTGCACATTGTCAGCTGACAGATTGAATGCTCTCTTAGGGACAGTTAACCATTTCAGCAAGACCACAAGCAGAGAGGCTAGCTCTAGCCCCTCGGGAGACCAAATCTTCAAATATTAAATAATATAGGGACCAAGCATGCCTTTGGGGATGGATAACTTACCAGCGTTTGAATTGCCAGACAGGAGTCTTCAGTGGTCATCTTCTGTAGAAGGGGGCGGAGGTGAAGATGGAGTTCCCCCTTTCCTGCAGCAGTTAGGGGGGTTCTACGTAATCAGGAAGTGCCTCCTCAATATAGCGTCAGGATGCATAGTAGTCCTAGAAGTCCAAACGGAGCAAGGTGGACTAGCCCCCAGTATTACCTGGCCAGTGAACGGAAAACGATCCTAGTAAATGAAGAGCTTGTGAAACCTACATAGGAAGCAGCGAACGCTTGATGGAAGGAGCTGTCCACTACGTGGTCCTGAAAGAAGATGTAGTGATGTTCTCCAGTAGAAGCAGTGCGGGGATGACCAGGATCAGTGCCACAAATGCCTTGCCTTGAACCCTGCTTCCAGGTGCACACTTCATTGGGATCGGGGGCTCCTTCACAGGTTCCTGGTGTAGAACGGGAAAGGTCTTCTCCTGTTCCCCAACCCCCCCAGGAGAAAAAGGTTGTCTACAAACCAATACTGCTCCTTCTGTGATCTCCCAAGCACCCACCCTTCCTCTCCTCCTCTAAGAAGGCAGGTCCTTCCCTTGTAAGCTAAAGATTCCTGTACTCTTACACAACCACCCTGTGTCACCCCCCAACCCCTCCTTGCCCAGTGCTCTTCCTCTACCTCTATGATTGGATTAAGGGGCTGAGCTAGTGACCTGTCCCAGCTTGATGGCGCTGCCAGCTGCTGCCAAAATATTGCTGCCCTGTATGCATCCGATTGCCAGAATGAAAAGAGGAAATCAGCAGCCCCCGTACACACACATGAGAGGCATTATAACAGTCTGCCAGCACCCCGTAGTCAGTGGCTGTTCTCTACTAGAAGCTGCACCATTCGGCTTGTCACATCATAGAGCGCAGCTGCTTCTGTCACCTGCAGTCAGCACAACCCGGCTCTCTCTGCTCGTCAAGCGCAAAATTTCTCTACTGGTGACAGACGGATCAGAACCACTGAGAGCCAGGTCACAGCCTCTCACACAGCTGGGGTGTATAGGAGTTAGATCGATACTGCTCCTCCTGGGAGATACAGCAAAGACACAGTATATAGCGGTCTGCTTCAATGAGAACAGAAGCATCGCAGGCAGAGAGGATGCTGCATGTAGATTTAAATGGGGTCAGGCTGCATACTTGTAAACTAAGGAAGGCATTCTGTTTGAGTTGTAACTTTTAAAAAAAGGGGCCAGGCTGGTCAGTAATAGTATTGTGGATAAAACCCTTAGGGAAGGCGGACTATGACTCGCCAAAATGTTGGTGCAATATGTCAGCCAATTTCCTTCAGGCTTCCTCAGGGGTGCCTCAAAATGTTGTGGTACTGGGACTGTGATGTGAAGGGGGGAAATGAAGATGGAGGAGAAGGGAAGGGGGCTCCTAATGTAAAGGGATAACTCTGATATGAAAGAGGGACTTTTGATGTGAAGAGGGGCTACTGAGGCAAAAGGTGATTTGAAGAGGGGTGGAATCTTGATCTGGAGGGGGCACTTCGATCAGGCCACTTTTTTTGTTTTTGGGTGGGGTCCTCCTTGAAAGCCATCATATTTTAGACTGGGGGGGCCTCATGATTTTGCAAACTGTTAAAGGGTGCCGTGACTAAAGACAGGTTGAGAAATGCTGCAATATACCGTCTTCTTGTTCACCTATGTAAGCCATGCCTACAATAACTGTTACTACATTTTTGGTTTACACGTAGGAGAGAGAGAGAGAGAGAGAACTGTGCAAAAGTGGACCTTTACCGCCCCTTTCAATAAAATTCACATCAGGATGCAGCTCTGTATGAGGATTTAAAATGCATTCACTAGTTAAACAAACTTGTTTTTTATTTACATACAACTAGAGTTAATATACTTGCTGGTCCACTTCTGGCACAAATGATGTAATATGCCAATGCGTTGCATCCGGGAAGGTTACATCAGTAGAGCATTGCTGTGAAATCTCATCTTTAATTTCATAAGATTTCCTCCCCTGAGATAATGTGCATGGTCACATGTCCTCGTCACATGTGCCAGAGTTCCAGGAAGTAAATGGAGAGCTAGTGGGGAAATGGGGAGCTAGTAATCTGCATTTAGTAAACATGGCCACTGTCAGAAGACTGGGGAGGAAAAGAGAAATAAGGTATGCAAAGAATACAAAGCCGGCAATTATCTAAAAGTATCTGTAGATTGCCATTACTAAACATTTTTAAAGGTGTGTTTGTTGTTACCATAAAGATATGGGTAAAGTTTCTCTTTAATACTGTAGTTTATTTTTTATCAATCAACAAAATGGAAAGAAAAATGAACAGAAGAGAAATCCAAATCAAATCAATATTTCGCGTTAACAAACTTGCACAGTTTGTGAAGGAACTCCGCAGGTAGGTTGTTCCAAAGATCTTGGAGAAGTAACCACAGATCTTCTGTAGATGTAGGCTGCCTCAAATCCTTCTGACTCTACATGTAATCCCAGACAGAAAGACAGACAGTATCTGCTTGTATTTCTCAGCATTGAGGACACAATTGATCCTGACCAAATCTGCAATTCCATTTGCAGAAATGCAGCCCCAGACTTGCAAGGAACCTCCACCATGCTTCACTAGCAACAGTCATTATTGTACCGCTCTCCAGCCCTTCGGTGAACAAACTGCCTCCTGCTGCAGCCAAATATTTCAAATGTTGACTGATCAGTCCAGAGCACCGATTGCCATTTTTCTGCCGCCTTGCTGCCAAAAAGCCATACCACCAAAGTGGAAACAAGGCCCACCTACCAGCTTCCTGATTGGCTAAGAAGCTGGCTTCACTTGTTGCTAGGCAGCCTTGCTTCCTGGCCCGCCCACCAGCTTCCCGATTGGTTTGGAAACCGGCTTCACTTGTTGCTAGGCAGCATGGTTTTCTGACCAATTAGGAAGCCAGGAGGCGGGTCATGATGTGCTGCCCGGCTTCCTGATTGGTCAGGAAGCCAAGCTGTCTAGCAATAAGTGAAGCCAGCTTCTTAGCCAATTAGGAAGCCGGGTGGCACATCATGACCAGCCACCCGGCCTCCTGATTGGCTAGGAAGTCAGCTTCTTTCGATAGAACATTGGCTTCCTGAATAATCTGGGCCCACAGATGTCTATACCGAATACCGATACTGGTAAGTACCAAAAAAAAAAATATTGGTACTCAATACTGAAAAAAACGGTATCGGTGCATCCCTTATATATAGATATATATGTGGTCCAGGGGGAGAGGCACTCACGGGTCTTGTAATGAAGCAACTTCAATTTATTGGACTAGGTTTTCAACAAGGCACTCCATGCCTTTCTCAAAAAATTTTATTTATTTGTGTTGCTTAATTACAAGACCGATGAGTACCCGACCATCTTTGCTTCATCAGCTTCTTCAGGGGGGTCCTAGGTGACATTAGGGGTCTTGGAGACCCCTGATGTCTCCATAAATAGGACCTGTCACATATTTTGCTATCACATAAGGGGGTTTTCTAACCCCCCTATGTGATAGCAATAAAGTTTCCCCCCAAAAAATGTAAAGTTACAAATAAAAAAGAATTACATTCTTTTTTTAAAGTCCCCCCCATACATACACGCATGCAAACAGGCGTCTGGTGCGCATACGTGTGAAAACAACGATTTCGCCCATTACGCCGCACATGTTACATATCGCCGCGAACGTCGGAATGAGAGCAATAATTGTAGGGCTATCAATCACTGATAACACTAAACTGATGAGGGGTAAAAGCTTTTAAAGAGTCACCCATGGTCAATTTTGGGCATGGTAATTTTTTGCGATTTCGCGGGTGCGCGCAATTAAAAGCATGACATGTTTGGTGTCTATATACCCGACGTGACCCCGCTTTTTATATTTTACCAAAAATATGGGTAATAAATGGGTGTGGTTACTGGGGGTGTGGCCACTAAAGGCTGTGGCCACTGAGGGGTGTGGTCACTGAGGGGCGCTGTAAAGCTTTCTCGCACAGGGCGCCTAAAGGCCTAAGGCCGGCCCTGGCTACAGGAGTCAGAGGCCTGCTGACCTCATCACATACATACCTCTGCATTATATGCAAGGGACAGTCCAAGAGCTGAAGCGAAAGGGAGAAAGTTGAGCGCCGACCACCTAAATTATAGCATGCACAAGTTAATACAGCCTTGTAATCATGAATATATTGTTGGTTTTTTTTTAATGCAAGCAGTGCAAGTACCTGAATTTGACCTAGTATCATCCTTTTGCAGTCCCTGTGCAGCAGAACTCAGAAAAGGGGAGGGAGAGGCCGCACAGGGAGCATGCTGATAAGAAGAGAGAGAAGAGTGACTGGCCGATGAGCTCATTAGTCTGCTGCTTCTTTTTCTCTGTCCAGTCACAGGGTGGGGGTGTAGAAGAGACCCAGAAGGGAAAAGGAAACTGCAGCAGGTCCCCTTTCCTGCTAGGCAGGACTGTGCTTTGTGAAAGAGCTGCATAAATCTCTGAACTGAATGGACAGAAATACAAATCCTTTCGCTGGTAAAACAGGTCCCATATATGAATTTCATCTGTATATTTAGCTCTTTACCTGGAATTTAGCTTTAAAGATTTGTAATGAACATATACCTTGTGTTTTAAATGGTGTTTTGCCTCCAGTTCAGTTTTAATGTATAATCTTTGGATATATACAGACATACTGACGGCTTAACATAAGGAGGTAGAGTTCAGTGCACAGTTATTCCTAAAGTACAACTGAAGGTTCCTGTAGGACAGTCTAAAACAAGTGCTAAATGCAGTTACACACATTAATGGAGCTAGGCATTTATTATTACATCACTATTTTTTTTATGCAATTAGTGTAAGTACTTGAATTTTACTTGGTGTAAGTCTTGCAATTGCCTATACAGAAAGTCAGGTGTGTTGCATGCAAATTTTCTGATAAGGAGCATGCTGATAGGAAGGATTCAAATGGCCTCATTAGTCTGCTGCTGTTCATTTATTGTCCAGTCAGCATGTTTGGGTGGAGAGAATACACTACTTTTATAGTCTAAAACAGTAACTGAATACAGTGTCATCCTCCCAGCTGTGATGTGTGTGAGGGCTGTGTAAATCACAAATCTGGATGAAAAGAAACACAAATATTTTGGCAGGTAAAACATTGTACAATCTGCACTGACATGCTTTGTGGATTACAGAAGGCTTTCCCAGCTGCTGCCAGG